TAGAATAGAATAGAATAGAATAGAATAGAATAGAATAGAATAGAATACTTTATTGGCCACACAAGGAATTTGTCTTGGTGTAAATACTCTCAGCATACATAAAGAAAAGGTGCATTCGTTAAGAATCAAGAATCATAACAAACAACACTTAATGATAGTCAGATGGGACATGAGAGCAGTATTCTAGTATTTCATGGGCTGCCACAAAGAAGAGGGGGTCAACTTATTTTCCAAAGCACCAGAAGGTAAGAGATAGAAACAATGGGTGGAAACTAACCAAGGAGAGAAACAACCTGGAACTAAGGAAAAATTTCCAAACCGTGAGAACAATTACCCAGTGGAACAAATTGTCTCCAGAAGTTGTGAGTGCTCCATCACTGGAAGTCTTTAAGAAAAGACTGGACAATTGTCTGAAATGGTATAGGGTCTCCTGCTCAGACAAGGGGTTGGACTAGAAGACCTCCAAGGTCCCTTCCAGCTCTATTCTGATTGATTGACTCAACAGAATTCAAACTTAGCCTCAGATCTTTTCTGCTATGGAAAGCAGGTTTTCCACCATCCCCATTGTCAGCGTTCCAGGGAAAATCCATTCCTGTCAGTAACTCCAAGACAAGCATAATCTCAAAGTACTTTTATTAGAGTAGCACCTGGCACATTCTGTGGCATTCCAAAACTAAAAGTTTCCCGGCTTCCCCACAATGTCCCAACCTACAAACGATCCCCTTTTTCACTCATCATCATATCCCATGAACCAATCCCAAAGTAAGTTCCAATTCTTTCTGCGCTACACTCTTTAACCTTGAACTATCAAAAGAATTATATTTTGTCTACTAAGAGCTACTCAATTAACATCACCTCCCTCCCACTTTCTCCAGCTATGTGGCAGCGATGAATTATGATTCCATAGCTGACACCCATTGCAACGGGTTCCATCCTGTTTTTTTCTCAAAAGACTATTGTTGGCTAAGCCTGACACTTACACGTACGATTGTGCAATCAGTTGGCATCGTGTTCCAAAGCTTTTCAGCAAAGTTTCATCCCCTGGCAAGTGAATTCATATTTCTGACCAGGATCGATTGGCAAGTCACAGCCAACAAAGTGCAATTAGATGGTTGTTAACTCAGCCACTCCTTTATAGCAACTTGTCATTAAGAAACTAGTTTTGCAACTAGTTTTGAAACTAGTTTTTTGTTTGTTTGTTTGTTTGTTTTCCTGTCTTGCTAGCCCAGAGAACATAGTTTGTTGATTTATTAGTTTAAAATACAATTTTGTAAAGTCTACTACATTGTGGTCTTTTTTAGAACAAATAAATGTAATTATTTGATTCTGTCCTTACGAAGGAATGTTGTATGATTTTTTCCCCCCTTTAATTGAAACATGTAGACATCTCTTTGGATTGCCATTTAAATTCTTCACGTTTGTGATGTTGGACTGTCAGTCTTATCCCACAGGAGAGGTGGGATTCTAACAGTTCGCCCCGGTTCTACCAAACCGGTAACTCTGAAGATCAGCTGAGGGGGAACCAGTTTGCTCCAACGATCTTCTATTCTTCTGTTTGACCAACCCACCCACCTGGGCTTTAGGCTGTCCTTTATTTCCTGCTTTTTCAACCTGAGCTGCTTTGCATGGCACAGCTGATTGCTGTGCACAACCTGTGTTATACACGGGGCTTGCAGGAGAAGACGATTTTGAAATGCTGCGCATGTGTTTGGCGCGCAAGCATGCAAAATGCAAGTCTATGCCCAAAGCATGCACTCACTGAACTGGTTATTACACCAGTTGAATCCCACCCCTGTCCCACAGCCCCTCTAAACAAACTTAAACCGCAGTAACATTGGAATCTCTCTATAAATGAAAGGCACTGTTATGTCCAGAATGGTCACTGAGACACCCATCAACAAGAAAGGAGCACAAATCAACACAAATCATTTCTTCTTCTTCTTCTTCCTCTTCCTCCTCCTCCTCCTCCTCCTCCTCCTCCTCACTGTTTCCATTTTCTTAATGATAGGCTGTCTGAAACTTTTTCTTCCACTTTTGTGGTTAGGCTTTCCTGTTTAATTATATACTCCTTTGCAAACTTGGCACTCTTCAAACCGCGATTCAGGAGATATCCTCCTCTCCTTTCAGCTGCTACAAATTTAGAAAAGTGGGCCAGTCATAGAGGAACAACTTCTTAAAAATTCCTCCATAGCCCACAGGATATGCATTCACTTTTTCCTCTTGCTCCTTCCCTTTCTGCAGACCAAGAGCTATTTTCGGCCATGTATATTGATTTCATGGGCACTGACGCAGCCATTTTTCGCAGCTTAACCAGACGGAATGCAGTGAGGACTGATCAACACAACTCGAAATGGCTAAGTGGTAAGAACTTCTTACACACACTGTTGACTTTGCTCCCTCAAAGGGTGGATAAAGAGTTCTTTGGCTCTGGGCAGAATATTTTATCATGTACATCAGGGGAAAAAATGATGTTAGAAAGTAGTAGTCTCCACACTCTTAAAGTAAGAGATTTTTGAGTTATGGAGTTGCAAACCAAAGAAACTTTTGCTTTTGAATCTTCAGCACTACAAAGTCCTGCTAGATATCTATGAAGATTCTCATCCATCCAGGTCATGATTGTCCCAAAGGTGCTTTTTCAAGAAGCAACTGGACTTTCTTGGTTTTTCTTTGAAGGTGTTTTGCTTCTCCTCCAAGAAGCTCTTCTGAAGAAGCTTTTTGGATGAGAAGCAAAACATTTTCAAAGAAAAACAAAGAAAGCCCAGGTGGCCTCAATGACCCTCTAAAAGGATGAAAATGACCAGCTGTCTGCAAGGAGTATGAAACCTTCCATTCCCCAACATCCAGCCAGAGCTGAAGAAGCTTCTTGGATGAGAAGCGAAACATCTTCCAAAAAAAATCAGGAAAGTCCAGTTGCCTCTTGAAAAAAAGCACCTTTGGGCAAGTCCTGCTAAAAGAAGACATCAAATGTTCCTGTGCTTCTTGTCCTGCCTTTGGGTGCTTTGAATCATAGATTGCCCCCTCCCCTCTTCTTTGTGGCAAATATGTGTTTCTCATTGATGTGTGGTTCTTTGTCTTGTTTTAGAGCCCATCTTTGTGGATGCTCATCTCATCCCAGATGGCACCGACCCCAACGATGCTAAAGTGTATTTCTTCTTCAAAGAGAAGCTGATGGACAACAGTGGCACCACCAAACAGATCCACTCCATGATTGCCAGGATATGTCCTGTAAGCAAAGATGTTCATATGCCGTTAAGCACGTGGATAATTCATAGTTGATGGCATAAGGTCAAATCATATTAGGAAACAGTCAATATAAATCGTTAGGATACAAGCAACAAAGTTACAGACATACACTCAAAAGTGGGAGGGGAGGGGCAATAAGTAGTGATGAGAAGATTAATAGTAATAGTAATGCAGACTTTGTAAATAGTTAGACAGTGTGGAGGGAATTATTTGTTTAGCAGAGTGATGGCATTCGGGGAAAAACTGCCCTTGTGTCTGGTTGTTCTGGTGTGCAGCGCTCTATAGCGTTGTTTTGAGGGAAGGAGTTGAAACAGTTTATGCCCGGGATATGAGGGGTCTGTAGATATTTTCACAGCCCTCTTTTTGACTTGTGCAGTATACAGGTCCTCGATGGAAGGCAGGTTGCTAGCAATTGTTTTTTCTGCAGTCCTAATTACTCTCTGAAGTCTGTGTCTGTCCTGTTGGGTTGCAGAACTAAACCAGTACAAATCAGGAACAGTACAGATGGCCTTCAACTTACAAACATTAATTTTGTGACCATTCAAAGTTAAATGGCATTGAAAAAAGTGTCTTAGGACCACTTTTCTCACTTCTGACCATTGCAGCATCCCCCGTGGTCATATGATCTCAATACAGACCCTTGGTAACTGACTCATATTTATGATGGTTGCAGTGTCCTGGGGTCTTGTGATCATCATTTGTGACCTTCTGATATGCAAAGTCAATGGGGAAGCCATATTTGCTTAACAACCATGTTCCTCACTTAACAATTTCACTGATCCACTTAACAATGGTGGCAAGGAAGGTCATAAAATGGGGGCAAAGCTCACAAATCTGCAAATTTTCAAAGACCGGCTGAGAGAAGGTTAGCATTGGAAGCTTCTGCCTTCCAGTGCTATTTAAAGGTATAGACTCACTGTCATTGGCATTGGCGGCAAGGTTGGTGATTGCGCTGAACTGAGGAAAATGAAGCAGGCTTGCGCAGTTGTTGGATGGCGGGGGGAATTTGACTATATAATTGTTCTGACCCAAACCCTTGTCCAATAAAACAAACACGAACCAAAGGGAGCAGAAACCTTTTAATGATTCTTATGAATCCCCAGTTAAAAGGCTGCTGCAAACTAATTAACTTTGATAAGCACAAGCCTTTCCAGAACTGTGCGAGTCTGCCAAAAATAACAGATAAGGTTACCTAGAAACATTTTGCAACACAAGAATCTTCAAATACCAACTAAGATACTGTAATGTCCACGAGGCTGGAGTTTCAAAACGTCTTTGCTTCCTGCAAAGAATGTCCGATTCACAGCTGGCTTTTATCTTCTTGAAGGAGGGGCCATTACCTTGCAGCCTTACTCCTGAGTCGCCCGTGCTGCTGCAGCTGCTCTTTCTTGTGAGCAGCCCTGCGCACATGCGCATTTGGCACAGGCTCCTCGGGAACCTCCTCATCACTGCCCCCACAATCTCTGAAGGCAGCAGTCCACTCCCTAATGGTCCTGGCCCCTCATCTTGGTCCTCGCTCTCCTCAGCCGTCTGCACCTGCTGCCAGCTGACCACAACACTAATTCACCCGCGATGAGGTAATAGTCATAGGCGAAGGATAGGATACAGAGAAGGAAACCGTGGACATATTAGGTATACCTGGATGGTGAGGATAAGGGGTGATTAAGGGGATAATTAGCGGTGTGTACAGGAGATAGAAGCGTTTAGGTGGGTGTGTCTATACCTTTAAAAATCACTGGAAGGCAGAAGCTTCCAGTGCTAACCTAGACCAGATTGTATGCTGTTCTTGCCAGATGGAAAGTTCATTGTTTGACATTAAACACATTGAAATCTGCTTTCTGCTTTACAGTGGTTTGTGTGCAAATCTGCGAGTTTTCAAAGACCAGCTGAGACTTAACCAGGGGAGGGATTCTGCCGGTTCTGACTGGTTCTATAGAACCGGTTGTTTCGATTCTGTGCAGTTCGGAGAACCGGCAAATCATGCCCCTGGATGGCCCCACCCCTCCCCGCCCAGAAAGTCCTTATCACGCATGCGCAAACTTGCACGCATGCCCAACATCGCTGATTGCATTGTCCCCTGCCCAGTCACTCCTTAAGGTATTTCTTTATTTTCCCCTCGCAACAATCAGCTTTTCCGACAATCAGCTGTGCCGGGATCCCCCTCGCTGTCTTACTTCTTCGCCCAGGAGGCTCCCCTGAGGCCCAGGAGGCAAAAAGGGGCATGGGGGTGGGTGGGTGCTGCAAAAAAAGAAAAAAAGAAAAAGCCATGCCCACCCAGTCATATGGCCATGCCCACCTAGCCACGCCCACAGAACCGGTTGTTGAAAAAAATTGAACCCCACCCCTGGACTTAACCAGTCTCACTGAAATTTGGGGCTCCATTGTGCCGTAAGATGAGGATTATTTGTATCGTGCCAATGCAAAGATGCTGGAGATGGACATTTTAAAATCTCATCCAGCTGTGCCGTCATTTGCACGGATTGCTGTTGTTTTCTCATAAAAAAAGATAATTAAACATTCAAATATAAAAAAAAAAAAACCTTCAGCATTCTAAATCTTGAATCTCCTTTGCACACCCAGCACAGGATCTAATATTCTGAGGAGGTTGGTTTGGTTACTTGAAAGGAATGGGCAACTAGAATAGCTCCTTTGTGTGTGGGTTGTTTTTTTTAATCGTTGTGTTTTTAAGTTGATTAATCTTTGCCAAAACATGACTTGTGACCTAGATTTTGCACTGCTATTTTATCCTTATTATTATTCTTATTTTTTTTAATAAAGTGCCTGGAGATATTTTTCAGAAGATGCTAAATATGATGAAATCCTTGTTTTTGTTGTTTCTAATGAAGCCCAAGTAGATTCGGGACACATTTTTTTCTTGACTCCTCTGTGCCAAAATGTGAAAAACAGGCTTCGAAAGATTGTGATTGGAACGTGTGTGTGTTGCAATTCTGATGACATTCTTACAATTTGGCATCAAGAATCTTATTCAAAGAGTTGGCCGAAGGCCAAAGCTACTTAATAAGTCCATTTCAACACAGGAAGATGGGAGAGAAGTTTGAAGTCAGTCTTCCCATTGTGGAACCACTGTCAGATCACAAGTTTAATTAGCACCTTGCAATTCAATAAGGCAATAAATTAAAAGCACAAAGACAGAAAGAGAAGCAACAAAGGACATAAAACTATGTGCATCAATGTACAATCAGCAATAAATCAGTAGCTATCTAAATAAGGTTTACACCTCTTCAAACTTACCCTGTGGGGTTTTTTTTAATGCCTGTTTTATTTGATTAAAAATCATTTTCTTCAGCAAGGAATTTTGGATACTGGTGGTGGGGGTTGGTGTGCTGGGCTGGTTGGCTGCACTGCTGCCTTTTGATTGGTTGATGGAGTTGATGTTGGTATAATGGGCTGTGTGATGGCCTTGTGACTTTTGTTGTGGAGATATCCTGGATCTTGTGCTGTAATCTCCTGGGTTGTTTGTTTTTTAGTGATCTTTTTTCCATTAGCCTCTTGTGTTTTAACGGCTTGGGTAATGGGTTGTGTGATGGGCTTGCAAGTTCTTTTGTTGTGGTATCCTGAGTCCTGCGTTGTAATTTCCTGGGTCATTTATGTTTTGATCTCTTTTCCATTAGCCTCCTGTGTAGTAACGGCTTGGGTAATGGGTTGTGTGATGACCTCATGAGATTTATTGCTGTGGTATCCTTGGCCTTGTGCTGTGATATCCTGGGTCATTTGCTGTGTTGCAACTTCTTGAGTTCTTGTCGTGTAATTTCCTGAGTTTTCTGATGTGATATCCTGAGCAGGTGGCTGTGATGTAGCATTCTGGGTTTTAGTCTGGCTTCGAGTTTGGGGTCTGGGTCTGTGTTCTCGGCGTGTGTGTGTGTGTGTGTGTGTGTGTGTGTGTGTTTTCTTAAGTTTTCGCGTGTACTTACATGTATGGTATTCAGCTTTGTTCAGGTATTTTCCCACGTCATTATAGTTGTGCTTTTAAAGTTGTAGCAACATTTTGGCAGAATCTCATCTGCCATCATCAGGCTTCTGTATTGTGTTCGTCTGTGAGTCAGACTGAAATGGCTGTGAAAGTCTGCTTTGCTACAACTTTAAAAGCAACTTTTGCACATTGCTACAACTTTAAATGCACAACTATAATGATGTGGGAAAATACCCGAACATACATACATACATACATAAATACATACATATGTGTTTTCTGAGGTTCTCGCGGGTATTTGTATGTGGATCTTTGGTTATTCGGGTTTTCTCCCACGTAAGATTGGAAGTATCTAGGCGACGTTTCGATGAAGTCT